AAGGAGAAAGTATTTAAAAAAAAAAAAAAAATTTATTATCTCACAAAACATGCTGTCTGCGTTTGACAATTGTGGTCACTAAAGTTTTCGCGCGTCCCCTCTTGTTGTCCTTTCATCCAATGGTGTCTGGATTAGGTTTCGTGAGTGTGCAGATGGCTGATAGGACTTTTTCAGGCCGTGAAAGTTCTTGAGCAGTGTGGAAAGGCAATTGAAGCCGCATCTGTCTGGCGATCTGCTTCAGTATCTTTCGGGTCAAAATGAACGCTAGGCACGGTCACTGTTTTGAGTCATGGCAAATTGTTTGCTTCTGCCAGACGGTGGCCGTTGCATTTTTGCTTCACTTGTAGATTGAAAGGAAGCTATCTTTTTTCCAATAGAGAAATAGAGCGAACAATGAACTAAGAGCAATAACAGGCACGTTACCGGTGAATGTTTTTCTAGAACATCAAAGAGTAAAATGGTTTGGCCATCTGTTCAGAATGGAACAAAGTCAGACAGCAGTTCGAGTGTACTACACAGCATACAAGGCAAGAGGTCAACCAAGAAAGATATGGGTGGATGGAGTAAAAGAGACACTACGTAAATGCGGTATGACATAAACTCAACCTAGGCAACCAGAAAAAGACAGGACACGACATCTAACTCCACTGCGACTCTCTGTGGCATAAGCAATAGAACAAAAGACAAGAAGTGAAGATCAAATGAACTGATAACCAAGAAGAAAATTACCGACTTCATTTTTGTTGACTTTATTCATGATGGAGACTGGAACACATGACTTTAGGTCCGCTGCCTCAGCTAATTATTTTATTGAACAGCCTCCAAATACAAGGAGCGCATAATGCAAAGATAAACAAATTATTCAAAGAAAGCTTAGGCTTGATTCGGGGCCCCATAAAAACATGATAGGACTAACAAAATCACATTACCAACTTAGGACTAACAACCGCACAATGGCGCCCTAAGACTAACAATCGCACACCAAAGACCTCAGGCTTACAATCAAACACCAACAATTGCAGACACACAAGCACATACAAAACTATCTGACATCAGCGACCCCAGACCTACAACTACACACTAAAAATCTCACATCAACGACCCCAGACCTACAACTACACACTAAAAATCTCATATCAACGACCCTAGCCTTACAACTACACACTAAAAATCTTACTCCAACGACACTAGACTTTCAACTACACACTAAAAATTTCGCACCAACGACCTCAGACTCACAAATGCGCATTAAAAATCTCATAACAACGACCCCAGACTATCAACCGCCCACTTATACTCTTAGTCTAACGACATCGGACTTACAACCATACAACGATTCCCTTAGACATCTTAAACCAACTATCCAAGTCCACACATTGATATCCTTAGAATTGGACTAAAAATCTGATTCCAGTGACCCCCCACATTACAAGCACACACACTGATACCCTTATAATTAAGATAATAAGCACACACAAATGATCCTAGACTTACAACCAAAAACACAAATTGTTATTGCCTTGACCTGGCAAGCGCAGACACTTTGATTTTTGACAGAAGTTGCTCTGTGTTTACTGTACAGCCAGTATACTTAGCGCACAATGAATACGTTTCAATGTAGTTATTATTGCAGCGAATGTGCCCCCCCCCCTCCCCCCCCCCTTTTTTTTAAGACTGAGCCGATGCATTAGGACATGTTTGTCAAAGGACAACAGAAAAGAATAAAAGGAAAAGACTTGGGACACTTTCGCTGTGCAATAAGACAGTGCGAAGTACAGGCGTCTCTACATACATCACGGTTGCTTAACTTCTTCAGCAACTTTTTCAACACATCAGTCGATGTTGAAATTTTCAAGGGGTTTTATTCTGGCGATACGGAGGACTGGCACCCATTTTAAGGAGTTGTTGTTTTGTATGCGCAGCGCTACTTCATATATATTTTATAGTGAGTACGGGTGTCTTACTTTATACATTTGGTGGTGAGTACGGCAGCCTTAATTTATATACTGTTTAAAAAAAATGCATAGTTACTGAAAGGAACAAACATACTCGCAATTTTGATATTCTGAATCATTGTAAAGCAGTAAGAGATATTACTCAAATTTCACACAAGAATACCTTAGGGTTCCACAAATTATTTGATACCTTTATTTTGCATCTGGGTGACTACAGTTTTGAAGCGTAGGTCTTTCCCAGTTTGTATGGTGTTATGGCCTCCTCTTGCGTGGATCAGTGACTGGCATCTTCTATTCATGGATGCGATCAGATGTCTGATGTGGGCCATCCTTCCTGGAGTGCCTGAAACAGATCATGACAATTGGCTGAAGTAACGTTTCGGCGACAAAAATGTCTTTGCGGCTCATCCCCCAGGTGCTCAATCGGACTCATGTCTGCAGACAGGGATGGCCAGGAAAGGGTTTGAATGTTATTGGCAGCCAGGAACTGAGTGGTCAGCTGTGCAGAATGGGATCTGGCGTTTTCCTGTAAAAAAACATACCTGTTGGCATCCCAAAATGGAAGGATAAGTGGTCAAAGAATTTCATGGACGTATCGTTGCGCATTCAAGATTTCCTTCAATGTGCACCAATTGACTCATTTCGTTGTATACCTTTGGTGGTGAGTACGGGAGCTTTACTTCATACATACATTTTGTAGTGATTACGGCAGCCTTGATTTATACATTTGGTGGTGAGTACAGCAGCCTTACTTTATACATTTGGTGGTGAGTACAGCAGCCTTACTTTATACATTTGGTGGTGAGTACAGCAGCCTTACTTTATACATTTGGTGGTGAGTAGGAAAACTTTAATTCATACATTTGGTGGTGAGTATGGGTGCCTTAATTTATACATTTGATGGTGAGTACTGGAGATTACCTCTATACATTTGATGGTGAGTACGGTAGCTTAACTTTATACATTTGATGGTGAGTACGGTAACCTTACTTTATACATTTGATGGTGAGTACGGTAGCCTTACTTTATACATTTGATGGTCAGCACAGTAGCCTTACTTTATACATTTGATGGTCAGTGCAGTAGCCTTACTTTATACATTTGATGGTGAGTACGGTAGCCTTACTTTATACATTTGATGGTGAGTACGGTAGCCTTACTTTATACATTTGATGGTCAGTACAGTAGCCTTACTTTATACATTTGATGGTGAGTACGGTAGGCTTACTTTATACATTTGATGGTCAGTACAGTAGCCTTACTTTATACATTTGATGGTCAGTACAGTAGCCTTACTTTATACATTTGATGGTGAGTACGGTAGGCTTACTTTATACATTTGATGGTGAGTACGGTAGCCTTACTTTATACATTTGATGGTCAGTACAGTAGCCTTACTTTATACATTTGATGGTGAGTACGGTAGGCTTACTTTATACATTTGATGGTGAGTACGGTAGCCTTACTTTATACATTTGATGGTCAGTACAGTAGCCTTACTTTATACATTTGGTGGTCAGTACAGTAGCCTTACTTTATACATTTGGTGGTGAGTACGGTAGCCTTACTTTATACATTTGATGGTCATTACAGTAGCCTTACTTTATACATTTGATGGTGAGTACAGTAGCCTTACTTTATACATTTGATGGTCAGTACAGTAGCCTTACTTTATACATTTGGTAGTGAATACGGCAGGCTTAATTTATACATTTGAAAGTCAGTACGACAGCCTGACTTTTTCCATTTGTTGGTCATCATTACTCTATACATTTGGTAGTAAGTACGGAAACCCTAATTTAAACATTTTTCAGCGAATGCCAGCTTTTTGGAGAAATAAATAAAAAGCGCTGCCATCATCAGAAATATGCATACATTAATTAATAAGCTTCTGTGAGTTTATAAATATTCAGTCAATTTATAAACTTTCTGCCTATTGTGTGAGTATTCCCATACTGGTTAAAGTACAGTATTAAATGTTTAAGTCCCAGTAATCATATAATTATTGAAATTTTTTTTTTTAACGTTTGTCAGCAAGTGAGATAGGGTACACGTTGAAAACAAGGAGAGCAATATAACAAGAATGTCCTTACACTTGAAACCGCAGGAGCATAAAGAATACACATGGGGAAAATAAAGAACACGTTGAGAAATGGAATACAAAAAGGGAAAATAAAGAATACATGGAGAAAGGGACTAGAGAGGACTGTAAAGAAGATCGGGAGGACACGGATGCAGCTGCATGCGAAAACAAAGGACAAGAGGACTTGGCGTGAGTCTGTTGAGGGCCTATGCTCCTTTGGTGGAATAAAAAGGCGTCAACTTTCTTCTCGTGCTTTGAGTATCCCGTAACTCTCACGTATTTATTGTTTGTCAGCCCAGACTTATAGACGCCTACCTTCGAAAGGATCATGACACATTACCAGAACTTTAATGAACAAGCTGTCATAGAATAATTCAAAATATGAGTAAAAAGGTAAAGGTAAAGTCGGGAGATGTGAACCAGCGTCACTGCACCCGGTTATAAATCATAAGTGCTCTGCCACCAGTACGGACAGCTGATAAGAAACTGTCCGCCTGTGTCGCCGTCCGCACGTAACTCTGTAGCTACAGCGACGTTCCTTCATTTACCCGAGTTTTACTCTGGTACCCTTTTCCTAGAGGTTGGGTGAACCATGGGAACCGCCCGGTTTCGAACCGACCGTGGCTACAGCGAGTCGCAGCTGGATTTAAAAGAGAACCTCTTATCGACTGCGCTAACGGAGTCTTCACACAAATCTTTAAAAGCAAATACGCTTGGACGGTACTTGGTAATACAATGTAATATACAACTGTTTCAACACAGCCACACATGTGACTGTTTTCTTCTCTGGTATATACAAGTGTTTTAACACAGCAACACATATGTGACTGTTTTCTTCTCTGGTGTATACAACTGTTTCAACACAGCAACACATGTGACTGTTTTCTTCTCTGGTATATACAACTGTTTCAACACAGCAACACACATGTGACTGTTTTCTTCTCTAGTATATACACAGAGCGATGAGACGAATCGCTGTCAGATGGAGCACGGGAAAGCAGAAGTTGGTGATTATGTTTGCAGTCAACGTGGTGTGTTTTTTCCTGGCACACTTCACATTATCTAGCCTCCATCTTATAGGACACCGTCGGACTTTTCCCCTCAGATCACAGAGATCTGCACCTTCAGGTTCAACGCCTGACCCAAAGAAGACGCCAGAAGATATGCAACTCACTACTTCTGAAGTCTCCAAACATGTCAACACTACAAAAGCGCGTTTGTTTAAAAATTCAGCGTGCGTCAGCAATCAGTTCTTTAATGACACTACCCGTTGTTCAAGTTGTCTGCGACCAGGAGCTGGTAAGATTGAATTCCTTCGTACCCCAGTAGAACATTTGAACCCAGCCAACTACACTGGTTATTTCAAACCTGCGTCAGGTGTTGTACAAAATCTCATCACCGACTACCTGATAACTCCCAGTCTGGACTGTCCGTACCTCCTAGCTGTCCAAGCTTCCGTGAAGGACCGACCTCATGAGAGAGATCTTGTTCGGAGAACTTGGGGCAGTGTTGCAGAAACCCAAACATGGCCCAATCGAACAATCAACGCTAAAATAAAGATCTTGTTTGTTGTAGCACACATAAATAAAACAGAGCAGGAGAACCAACGGAACCACACACTTCAGTTCGCCGAGCTAGTTTCAGAAGCTCGACTTCACAACGACATTCTCTACATTGACATGATCGACAATTACCAAAATTTGACGCTAAAACTTGTATCAGCCTTTAAATGGGTCAAGGACAACTGCCCGTGTGTCACGTTCGTCCTAAAGGTCGACTTTGACACGTTCGTCAATGTCCCTCTGCTTGTAGACTTCTTGTTACTGCACCAGGACGAGTTCGTGTTCTCTGTACTGGGCGTAGTTTACAAGAATGCTGTCCGAAGATGGGGAAGATGGCGGGTGCCCAAATCTGTGTACCCTATGCAGAACTACCCTTTTTATGCATCAGGTATTACCTTGGTCATATTTCATTGTCTAAAAATACAACAAAGGAAAGTTATCCTGTCTCGACTTCTCCATGTAATGATGTTTATTACATTTTTGCTTAATTGTACCTGTAAATACTTCTAATACGATTCCATGTAAATATCATTCATTTATGACCAGGTTGTATCCTTCCTATAAACTCCAGTCTATTCCGAAGTGATCCCATCCTCACGTGCTCCCTATTTGATCCTAACTGTATGTCCTCACCTAAGTGATCCTATCTATATGTGCTTACCTATATGATCATATCCACATGTCCTCCCTATATGATCCTGCTTAATGTTAGACGTATATGCTTCTGTCTAGATATCGTCACAGATTGCATCTTATCTATGTCTTTTCCCCTTATGACATTTTACTATGTATTCCCACCAATCTTTTATTTTCTTATGCTATGTTATTTTAAATTATAGTATGTTATGCTACAACAGTCGACGTCACAGAATAGTGAGTAGTCTCATGCCTGCTCAGACCTCCACTACAGCAGTCACGTTTTTTCCACTTAATGCTTTTAAAAATATCCCATATTTTGACATCGAACGGCATAAGAGTTCTTATTTAGTTTATGCATCCAGGTCACATAATGGTAGTCTTAGTGATCCGTCAGTATCCATAAGCTAATTCTGTCAATGTTGATATCAGCTCAGCTCATGTTTCCTATCATGCATCACTTAGCAGCTGGTTCGTTGATTCGTCAACATTTGCTCGGCGTGCAAACCTGAGTAGATCCAGGTGAGGGCCTTGAAGTGCGACCTCAAAATTGTCCATGTCCAATCAGAGTGTAAACTAACTGTCGCAATTTTCTCAAGCGTGTTGACGAAGTCTGATATGATGATTGCACGCATGACCGAATTTCTGCATGATGACGGTCACGCTTGAGTGTCTGTCTGGTACGCCCCAGAATCCTATTATTGTGTTTTCACCGTTCTTTGTGTGTGTTTGTGAATGATGACTTGAGCGATGCTTTGGTGTCTATGTCTGTGAGAATCTAGATTCTGCAGTAATCACAGAGTGCGGTGACAACCTGTTTGCCTACAGCTGTGAAAATCTAGCTTCTACAGTAGCCCTAGTGAGAAGACAGCCTATTGTGTCTATATCTGTGAGAACCCATATTTTGCAAGAGCCCCAGTCTTTTCTTCTTCTTCTTTGATCCTTCTGTCAGAAAACTTATATCAGGAGGACGGTAGCTTTTATGAAAGCTATCGTGTGATCCGTATCCTCTCTTGTAATATACAGTTTTGTCTTCATTGTGGTTGGAACAGGCCAGATTGTGTCTCTGTTGTCAGCATAAGTAGACAGTGTTGGAGCACATGCTCAGCATTTTCGGGTGCCACGCTGCAGGGACACGTCTCCGTATTTCCTACACCGAAAAATTTGAACATATGTTGACGAAATCTGTTGTGCCCAGTCCTTAGTCGGAATATAATACACTGTCTCTCTCTAGAGAGGCGATGACAAACCTATATGGCTACAGCTGTGTGAATCTAAATTCTGCAGTAATCCCAGAGTGTGGTGACAACCTTTATGTATACAGCTGTGAGAATATAGGTTCTTCAGTCCCTAAAGAATTTTGTCACAATCAATATATCTCATCATCATCATCAGGTGCCTTGCCGACTGGCGTGGGCGATCATGCCTCTCCATAATCCGCGATCTCCTGCAGCATGTATCAGTTCGTGTGCCGACACACCTCCATGCCATGCAACAATACTGTCAAGCATCTTCTCTCGTTGTCTTCCTCTATCCCTCCTTCCACAGATCTTTCCAGTGGTCACAACATGTTCTATTTTTTCCTCTTCTCATAAACATGGCCGAAAAATGATGACTGTCTCCTTCTGATGTCAGTGATAAGTTGTCTTCGGGCTCCCGCCTCTTTTAAAACCTCTTGATTGCTCTTTTTGGCTGTCCAAGGTATTCTAAGCATTCTTCTGTAAAACCACATCTCTGAGGCCTCCAAAAATTGTTTGGCCTGCCTACCGATTGTCCAGGATTCACATCCATATGTTAAAACTGGATGTATGTAGCAAGCAAGAATTCTTTTTCTAACTCTCAATGACAAGGATGTATTGCACAAAATGTTTTTCATTTTATAAAATGCAGTTTTTGCCTGTCCAATTCTGTTTCTTATTTCAGTTATGCATCTTCCATCTGATGTTATCCATGTGCCCAGATACTTAAATTTCTGTACTTGTCTTAAAATAACACCATTGACTTTTATTACACATTTAGGAATAATTTTTTTCTTTGATATCACCATTACTTCTGTCTTCCCATTATTAAAACTGAGGCCCATTCTTCCACTTTCTAACACCACAATGTCTATCATTTCCTGTAATTCTTTCTGACTTGTTGCTATCAAGACTGTGTCATCAGCATAACGTAAATTGTTTATATTGTGCCCACCAACCACGATTCCGGGCATATCAATTAAAGATCTCATAATATATTCACTGTATATAGAAAACAAATCAGGTGAAAGTACACATCCTTGTCGTACGCCCCTCTTTATGCTTTGAAATGTACCTAAACAGTTGTTAATTCTTATAGCTGCTGTTTGCTGCCAATACATATTCTTTATTATTCTTAGATCTTTCCCATCAATGTTTAATTTTTCTAACAGTTTGATTACTTCTTCATGCTTCACACAGTCAAATGCTTTTGTATAGTCAATGAAGCATAAGTACAAATCAGTCTTTACTTCTATAGCTCTTTCTGACAATGTCCTTGGGATGTATATGGCATTGTTTGTACCTTTTCCTTCTACAAATCCGCATTGTTCATCGCTGATTTCTGGTTTAATTTTGTTTCTTATTCTTCTCATAATTATTCTCAGTAAAATCTTAGTCATGTGACTCATAAGACTTATTGTGCGATGGTCTTCACATTTTAAACTGTCTGGTTTCTTCGGCAGAGCTATAAATATGGATTTTAAAAGGTTATTTGGAATATACCCACTGTTATAAATATCATTTAAAAGTTTAGTTTTTATTTCAATCAATATGTCTACACCTGAAAAATTATAGTTTCTGCAATACCCCTAGAGTTTAGTAACGACCTAAACGTCTACAGCTGTACGAATCTAGACTCTGTAGTACCTCTAGAGTTTGTAACAACATATACGTCTACAACTATGTGAATCTAGTTTCTCAAGTGCCTTGAGAGTGTGGTCACAACCTATATGTATACAGCTGTAACAATGTAGATTTGTCAGTACCTTCAGAGTTTGGTAACGACCTCCATATCTACAGCTGTAGCAATCTTGGTTCAGCAGTACCTCCAGAATGTTGTCGAAACCTACTTGTCTGGGATGATTATTTGAGCAAGTCTAAATCACCTTTCAGCTTGATTAAATCTTTAGCCTTGGCTATCGACAAAAGCATCGTTTTTTAGATGTACATCATTTATGTCGTCGACAGAACGAGAAATCAGGGCTATAACTGAGCTTCTTAGACCCCTCGAGATCTTCCAGAACAAATGTTCGTCGATATGGTGGTGCAGTTGGGGGGGGGGGGGGCAGAAGAGGGGTCAAAGTCTGCAGACCCCTAATGATTGTGGATATCGTGGCAGTCTATTGAGGAATAATGATTGTGGATATCGTGGCAGTCTATTGAGGAATAATGATTGTGGATATCGTGGCAGTCTATTGAGGAATAATGATTGTGGATATCGTGGCAGTCTATTGAGGAATAATGTTTGTGGATATCGAGACACAGTCTATTGAGGAATAACGTTTGTGGATATCGAGGCACAGTCTATTGATGAATAATGTTTGTCGATATCGTGGCACAGTCTATTGAGGAATAATGTTTGTTGATATAGTGGAATAGTCTATTGAGGAATAATGTGTGGTAGACTCGATTGAGGATTAGTGTTTGTCTATACATCGAATTAGAGTTTTGTTAGGAATTATGTTTGTCTGTTTATCGTTAAACAGTCTATTTAGGAATAATGTTTGTCAATATATCGTTGGCACAGTCCATTGAGGAATAATGTGTGTCTGTATATAGTGGTAGAGTCTATTGAGGAATGATGTTTGTGTATATATCGTGGCACAGTCTGTCTGTCTGTCTGTCTGTTTGTCTGTCTGTCTGCCTGCCTGCCTGCCTGTATGTATGTATGTACGTACGTATGTATGTATGTATGTATGTATGTATGTATGTATGTATGTATGTATGTATGTATGTATGTATGTATGTATGTATGTATGTATGTATGTATGTATGTATGTATGTATGTATGTATGTATGTATGTATGTATGTATGTATGTATGTATGTATGTATGTATGTATGTATGTATGTATGTATGTATGTATGTATGTATGTATGTATGTATGTATGTATGTATGTATGTATGTATGTATGTATGTATGTATGTATGTATGTATGTATGTATGTATGTATGTATGTATGTATGTATGTATGTATGTATGTATGTATGTATGTATGTATGTATGTATGTATGTATGTATGTATGTATGTATGTATGTATGTATGTATGTATGTATGTATGTATGTATGTATGTATGTATGTATGTATGTATGTATGTATGTATGTATGTATGTATGTATGTATGTATGTATGTATGTATGTATGTATGTATGTATGTATGTATGTATGTATGTATGTATGTATGTATGTATGTATGTATGTATGTATGTATGTATGTATGTATGTATGTATGTATGTATGTATGTATGTATGTATGTATGTATGTATGTATGTATGTATGTATGTATGTATGTATGTATGTATGTATGTATGTATGTATGTATGTATGTATGTATGTATGTATGTATGTATGTATGTATGTATGTATGTATGTATGTATGTATGTATGTATGTATGTATGTATGTATGTATGTATGTATGTTATGTATGTATGTATGTATGTATGTATGTATGTATGTATGTATGTATGTATGTATGTATGTATGTATGTATGTATGTATGTATGTATGTATGTATGTATGTATGTATGTATGTATGTATGTATGTATGTATGTATGTATGTATGTATGTATGTATGTATGTATGTATGTATGTATGTATGTATGTATGTATGTATGTATGTATGTATGTATGTATGTATGTATGTATGTATGTATGTATGTATGTATGTATGTATGTATGTATGTATGTATGTATGTATGTATGTATGTATGTATGTATGTATGTATGTATGTATGTATGTATGTATGTATGTATGTATGTATGTATGTATGTATGTATGTATGTATGTATGTATGTATGTATGTATGTATGTATGTATGTATGTATGTATGTATGTATGTATGTATGTATGTATGTATGTATGTATGTATGCATGTATGTATGTACTGATGTATGTATTTATTGACTGGTAAAGAAGCATGTATTTGTCTGCAGGATGCGCCTATGTCCTGTCCATGAAAGTCATCTCTCAAGTAGTGGACACTGCGCCCCACTATCGCATTCTTCCTATAGAAGACGCCTTCATCACGGGCATCCTCCGACTGGTCATCGGGTATCAGCTGGTCAACGTTCCCACGGCCTTCACCCACTACACAGACAACAAGTGGCATCATTGTCAGTTGCTCAACGACACCAAGGCTCTAGCTGTCAGTCGCCAGGGCTACAAACACAAACGTGTCTGGAAATCCTTTCTGGAGAGTTCTTGTAGATAAGACAGTATCTTTCATCATCAGAAATATACTATACTTGATTGTCGTCAACCAATAATCCTCAGTATCAACATCACCAACAACATCATTATTATTTCCATTAATCCATTTCACCTATAAATCAGGATTTGGAAAAGTCATTACACAACTGAGACTGTGAGGTATCACCACACAACTGAGGCTGTGAGGTATCACTACACAACTGAGGCTGTGAGGTGTCACCACACAACTGAGGCTGTGAGGTGTCACCACACAACTGAGGCTAACCAAGCTAACCGGAAAGGCTAATCTGGTAAATAAATGCGAGTTTAAGTCGAATTTGTTTTCTGAAAGGCTTGATCATCGCATCTGTGCTGTCGTTTAAGATTTGAGGTTTGAACAACGGATCAACATCATGGCACACGTGTAGTAACCCATACGTGCTCTGTTCTTCTTCTAACTCAAGTCTGAGTCCGAAGAAATTCGGCACAGTGCACAGGCTCTGTAGCACCGGCGAGGATCCTGAAATACTTTGGGTATATTTTTAACTCAAACTTTTGCCCGGGTAGTGCCGTTAGGCTACTCTTTTCGATTTCCAACTGCCAAGGAATTTTTTTACGTGCGCAACAATATACACGGGCGCCTAACCTCACCAAGGGGAAATACTAGTAGTCCACGTCAGCCTTTATCTGTGCTGTAAAAAACCAAACTAAATAAGTGGCTCTGACCGAACCAAAACGAAGAAACCACAACGACAAACATGACTGACTGAGTGACTTTCTACCCCACTAGGACATCACACAAGCGATAAACACCCGATGACACAAAGTGCCACCATGTGGATGAGGATCGCCGTGGAGAGGTCCCAGAAACCGCGTTCAGACAATTGACCATATTTAAAGCCTGTCTGTACTGCGGCCCCTGGCGAAAGCCAGGGTGGGGCTTCAAATAACAAAAAATTGCGTCCTAAAAAGGAAGAAACTGGATATAATAAAGGACAAACATGTTTATGAAGAGTACAATATGTAAACTAGTGTGCATAGTGAAATTGAGAATACAAACTTAAACTATTCTTTTTTTATTGGTATAGAATTGAAATAATGAAGAAATTATGCATATGCATAGTTGTTACATCAGGCAAGACTGCATGACACTAAAGGTTCGTGTGGTCATATTTCAGTTTCGTTTAAATTGTAATCCTATCGCGTCCATATAGCCATGGCTTCCAGGAAGCTAAGGCTGATCCAGCAACCACCCGCTGGTTGATCAAACAGACGAGCAACCACCCGCTGGTTGATCAAACAGACTAGCAACCAACCGCTGGTTGATCAAACAGACGAGCAACCACCCGCTGGATGATCAAACAAACTAGCAACCAACCACTGGTTGATCAAACAGACTAGCAACCAACCGCTGGTTGATCAAACAGACTAGCAACCAACCGCTGGTTGATCAAAGAGACTAGCAACCAACCGCTGGTTGATCAAAGAGACTAGCAACCAACCGCTGGTTGATCAAAGAGACTAGCAACCAACCGCTGGTTGATCAAAGAGACGAGTAATTGTCTTCTTCTCTCTAGGACTCAAAGCTGGCAAATAATCTGAAGTTGAAAGCCATCTATCAGAGGAGAGGCTTGTGCAACTCAAGAGGAGCTGAATTCATAACAAATAAAAGAGTTGTGTGGAGAAGAAGACCGGAAGTGAGTGCAGCCTTTCGCTGGACAGTTTGACATCATGTCATGGGAGACCATCTGTGTCGGAATTAATTGAAAGCACACGAGACAGAAAAATGTGGGCTGCCGTGACTGCCTACGTCATTCGGCATGGACAGTCAGACAAAGAAGACTAGACACGGAAGGTTGTGAGTAGAGATGACCACCAGTGCAAGACGGAATGGTAGAGATGACCACCAGTGCAAGAGGAATGGTAGATCTTCCGTAGTAAAACTGATTGACATTACACGAGACAGAAGATTATGGATAGAAATGACTACAAACGAAAAACGACCAACGCCACACGGCATGTGCTGTAAGAAAAAGAACTTTTCGCAGAAGACTCCAATAAGTTGCGCATTGGGCATGTAGACCTATATAGATCAATCGACACTCGGTGGATGATGTGGTCAACGTCACGGTGGATACTTTTACTTCCCATCTGGTAATCTGGTAATCCTAGTTTCAGCTTCATAGCAAACGGGTCACCCCACATATGCTCCGCTCCTGTGCCAGCGAAAAACAAACGCAGCTAACAGTGTCACACCATGAACTCAACTCAGAAGCTGGGCGACGAAACTACATGACTTTACCTAGTACCCAAAACAAAAACTGGCTCTACTTGGGAGCCTAAAAACCCCAAGCTGTTCAGATTTAAACGCACTACCTTTGAATCTGCATTCGAGCATGTAACCGCGTCACAATGAATGGCGGCTCTCACAGAAAGATGTTATATCCTAATGTCCTTATTTTTTTGTTGACGACAGGCTATCCTATAACTAAGTTTGCCTAGTCCCTGCACTCACGTCCCTAAGTGATTAGAACCCTACACAAGTCTGAAACATGCTCTGACACTCTGACGCACTCCTCTCTTCGCCTAAATGTATCAAGCCTGCAAATATGTCGAATTGTGTCTTCAGCTTGCGCCATCCAAGACTTTCTTCTTTTCAGTCTGTGACCGTTAGCTCTATCCAGGGCTTCATGCAGGAGGTGCCTCTTGTCCGCAGCTACTCTGAGATATGACTTTGCTTGTAGAACTTTGAGCCTATCTGCAATAGGAGGCAATGCAATTATGTATCGCATACATACTACCGGGTTATCTCGTGTACATCCAAGAATTACCAGCATGGCTTCATTCTGTATGCATTTAAGTTTCATCAGCTGACTCTTTGAAATGGTATGCATATCCAACATGGTAAGATGTATTAAATCGTGGATATTGCCATTCCATAACCTATAAGCCTCTTGTTGCATAATTATACTTCGACCAGATTAGAACAAATGTTTACTAGACCGGCATGCCAGCACCTGAAAAGAAAGCCACATCGACTACTCGAAGAACAAAATATTTAAGATAACAAAGGAAGCAGTAATACACAGGGTGTAAAGATTACACAAAACAGCCTTTACTGTGAAATTTGCAGGGAACAAATGTGCACACAAGCCAACAGGAACCAGAAAAGTATTTAGGCCGAGAACAGTTCAGTGTAAACTTATCATCTTGTGTGTGTGTGTGTGTGTGTGTGTGTGTGTGTGTGTTTATGAACGAGAGAGAGAGAGAAAGAGAGAGAGATAGAAAGAGAGAGAAAGAGAGAGAGAGAAAGAGAGAGAGAGAGAGAGAGAGAGAGAGAGAGAGAGAGAGAGAGAGAGAGAGAGAAAGAGCGCGTATGCGTGCATGTATGCGTATGTGTGTTGGAAAAAAAAGTGGGGTGGGGGGAGGGGTATAAACAGTGAGAACTAATGTACGACTGGTTAGTCGACTTTGAAATGTTAACCCCCTCCCTGTTTTCCTCTTCTTCGTTGGTCCTTCAGACAGAAAAAACTTGTACCCGGAGACCAATTGTGACGAAACCTTTGGTGCAGTCAAGTTCTCTCTGTGAGCTTTCAGCTTGGTCTTAATTGAGGCTAGAACAGGCCAGATTGCTTCTCTGTTAACAGAATGAGTTATAAGTTGGGTTATATCTGAGGCACCCCTAACCCGTCCATTTGTGCTCAGATTCCACTTTTTCACTTATACATTAGCATCCCGTATTTAAAAGACCGGGTCTTATGCTGGCTGACAGAACCCCTTGTATGTCCGATGTGTCTCCCATGCTCGACTGTGCCGTTCTCGTTTCTTTAAATGATTCTAGACGATTAGATGAATTGTTAAAAACATATTGATACAACGGTAGACACATGGACAAGAATTTGCAACATTTAAAGGATAGGTATAGACAATGGATGGTAAGCTCATCAAGCCACTCTCTTAACATTTTATAAAGTTTTCCCGAGAGGAAAACTAGAATATAGAAGTATTGTCTATGATACAGCAACGATTACACAACAAGTAAGCTAGATAGTATACAGTGCCATGCACTCTCTTAAATCTGAGACAGAATCAAATAATACACAATTACTGGTCTTGCAGTGGATACCAGCCCACTTTGGTATTCAAGGAAATGAGAGAGCAGATGGGTTGGCAAAAGCTGGGAGTAATCTTCCACAACCTCATCCACCACACAGCTACAAGGAAATCAAAACAGCATTAAAGCAGTCTTTCAAGCGGGAGTGGAGAAAACAGAATAGAGATTACAGACCAGAGAGTGACAGCATTAACAAACTCAACAGGAAAGAACAAACATCAATTTTTAGACTTCGGACTGGACACTGTGGTCTTCCAGCACACCTGTACAGGATAGGCATAAAAGAATCTGCTGCCTGTGATTGTGGAGCAGAAAGACAAACCCCTGAACACATACTGCAGTACTGCCCTTACCTCTCCCAGCAAAGACTGTGGATCTGGCCCAATGGAGCCACATTGCGAGAGAAGCTATGGGGGACCGGTGGCGACCTTAAACGCACAATCCTATTTTTGACCCAGGCGGGACTCAATGTGTAGCATGACTGATGTCGAACGCAGAAGAAGAAGAAGAACTGGCTTTAGACCGCACACAGTCGTGATCATTCAGCATGCGAGGCTTTTAACACTAGCACAAACAAGTTCAGGAGAGTGCCGATAAGAAACATTCTTAGGCCAGCAGCATGATATGCTTCAGTAGAAGTGAATACTACTAAAGAACTAGCAAAGAACATTTGAATTAGGTAAGAGATATAAATCTCTGATACCACCATGGGAATTAAAACCACCATATGTAGACATTAGCCTGGCATAACAGATTTTACAAAACACTGATCCGCTACAAGTAAGGACAATAGGAGAGGAGCAGATTAGAAACATTGAAACTGATAATCTGATAATTTAAACGGATGGATCCAAAAATTAGAAAGGAGAAGTAAGAGCAATTGTTTATATTCCTTACTGGAAAATACA